ATATATATATATATATATATATATATATATATATATATATATATATATATATATATATATATATATATATATATATATATATATATATATATATATATGTATATGTATCTATGTATCTATGTATCTATGTATCTATGTATGTATGTATGTATGTATGTATATATATGTATGTATGTATGTATATATGTATGTATAAAGACACACACACACCCACGATATTTATTTTTCTTTTTTTTTTACATGTAAAAATTAAATCATTACTATATGGAGTTTTAAATTTTAATTTCATTTAATTCATAATAAATTATTAATATAAATTTGTTTAATGATTTTTGCTTTTTATTTTCTCATTTCATTTTTTGAAATTTTTAAATTTTAAATTTATTTTTTTTAGTATTTAATTTTTTTAAATTTTATTTTTATTTTTATTTTTTACATATATTATAAAATATCTTTCAACAAAAATGATTTAAAAAAATTATTTTTCCTAACCGCCAAGTCCAAATGTTATTCCCCTTGGCATTTCAGATTTTGGCTTTTTGGATCAAAATGCAAGTGAAAAAGCCATTAGCCAAACAATGGTTTTGGCAGTTCGCTTGATCAAAAAAGCCAAAATTAGTCAAAAATACCAAAAGCTATCTGAAATGTTGTTTTCCAAACACGGTCATGGTCCTCTCCTCTTCCCGATCCTGCGGCAGAGCTTCCCCGTCTGTAACTGCCATCCCACCCTAACAAATTCTCTATTTGCAAAAAAAAAAGAACTCATTTCATTAAAAGTTTTATTCTCTTCATTTGTTAATAATTATTTTGCATGTCATTAGTACTCGGTATAAAAATAAATAATGATTTAAAATATAAAAAGTAAACAAAAATATTGGTATTGAGAAAAATATTTTTAAAATATTATTTCTAATAACTTTTTACTTCGTGGATATTTTTCTGTGCCTATAAGCTGGTATAAGTTAGCTGATGACATATTTTTGTATGATTATAAGCTGACTTGCTGCTTATAAGTTAGAAAAAATAACTAGGTCTTAGCTACTTATGTTTAAGTCAGTTTTTTCATTTCTTTGTTTTAACCAAATTATTTACAAAGTAGTCTCTTACCATTTATGAACAAATGAATTAACTATCATTTAAGTCATTTTACTTCCCCGAAAGAATATTTGACTTATAAGTGGCTTCATATGGTCCTCTCGTCTTCCGGATCATGCGGCTTACTGCCATCCATCCTCACAAATTCTTTATTTGCAAAAAAAAAAAAAACATAGCTGCAGATTTGTATTATGAACCAGGGAATGAGCCACCATATTTAACAAACAAAAAACAAAATAAATACGGAGTAGATATTAAGCTAAGAAAAACACCATAATAACTTAAGGATCATCAACAATTGCACTAATACCAAAACCTCCCGGGAATTTCTCATCTTAAATTACATGAACGTGAAAGGAGTTGTCAAGATGTTCATCTTATCATTTGACTTTATTCAATTTGATTCATAGCGGCATGCACTAAAATTCATGGAGAATAAATACAGAACGTGAATGTTTATTATAGTCGATTTGTCGCCTCATTGAGTCAAGAAGTACGACTCGTTTAAGAATTTCCTCATCACCATAAAACCACAATTAATAAAAAGGAATTCATTAGGAATTTATTAGTTCCTCTCTTTCATTCAAAACAAAATATTGTATTTTTACATCAAAAATTGCTTTGGAGTACCTTCCATTTTCTTGTAAGAGCTCCCAAATTCCACATTATCATAAATATATTCTGGGATATGAGGTCCCACATTATCCGAAAGTACATTTCGTAATCTTTAAAATTTGTGATACCATACATTGGGCGCAAATTATATCGTACATCTGACTGAACGGGAAGAACCGTACATCCGGCAATTAATTGGGGCGAAAGGAGGAACTGCGGCAGGAACGGCCGAATCGATCGACCATGAAGGAGGCTGCGCGATGGGGCTGGTTGGATTCCCTATCGGCGATTTGAGGATGAAGGTCCAATCGGCTATTAATTAGAAGATGAAGGTCCGATGGAGGTTGTTTGGAAGTCCGAAATTAGACGATGAAGGTCTGATCCCGACCTGAACGCTGCTTGGATATGCGAAGATCTGGTCAATTCAGCTTCCAGTTGCTCGAGATGGTCTTCGGCTTCCTAGAGATCGTTTCTTCCACTTAGCTGTTAACTTATGAATTGACATATGAATGGTATGTTGAGTACTAAGTTATATGAGAATGAGGACTACTGGGTTTTAGAATGAATATTATGTTGTTCGTAAATTAATATTGAACAAATTTGTGAAAATGAGTACGGCGTTATTTCTGAATGAGTACTACGTTATTTCAGAATGAATACCACGTTTTTCAAATGAACCATTATGCTTGTGCAAGAATGAGTACTACTTTACTTCGGAATGAATACTACACGGATGTACCTATCTCTAGGTACAGCCGGATGTACCATATACACTCTCTAATTTGGGTACATTCCGTTCATTTAGGCGTTAGGATTGAAAGTTCGTTACTTTGACAAAATGAAGAGTTCTATTAAAATTTAATAAAAAATTACTCCCTCCGTCCCACAAAATCCTTCCTTTTTCTTTTTTCACCCGTCCCAAAAAACACTTCTCTTTTCCTATTAAAAAGTCACATTTACCCCTATTATTTCTTAACATACCAATCACGTCACAATTTTCTCTATTAATCTACCCATCGCATCCTACTTTATCCATCACATCAAAGGACATTTTTGGAAAGTCAACACTAAAATACACTCCTCTTAAATCCTTTAAAAGTCAAAACGAAAAGTTTTTTAAGGGACGGAGGGAGTATTATTTAAGGTAAAATTTAGTATTTTAAGGACCCCCGAAGTTTATTTCAAATAATATGGGATTTGAGAATTCTTACGAGAAAATCGAGAACACTCTGAAGTATATTTCAAATAATGCGAGATCTGTGATAAAATACTTTAGTCATGTCCATACCAATTTTGTACTCCCTCCGTTCTCAAAAACACTTCCTCTTTCATTTTTTTCACTTCCAACAAAACACTTCCCTTTTCTATTAAAAAACCACTTTTACCCTTACTTTTTCATACCCTACCTATCACATCATACTTTTTCTCTAATAATCTATCCATTACATCTTACTTTTACCCATCACATCAGGGGCAAAATTGGAAATCAACTATAATTTAACACTTCCTTATTTTTGCCCCAAATCCAAATGGGAAGTGTTTTTCCAAACGGAGGGAGTATATCTTTTGATGTAGCGTTTAAATGTATAATTTTTGCTTTTTAATTCTACAACGTTTTTCATAGAAATTGATTTAAAAATAACTTAAATTAAACATTGTAGATAAATTTTGAATAGAGATTGTCTATTAAATAGATAAGAATATATTTTGATAATATTCTATAAAATAATTTTAATAAACTTATCTTTATATCAATACTTAATATTACTTTTAAAAAATAAAAAAATGGATAAAAACCCAACTCCAATTTATTATTGGGTCTCCGTGTGAAAATTGAAAACTCTCGGCGCAATCTGTACAAAACGCCAAAAATAGAGTACCTGTAAAAAAAAAATGAGTACTTGTACTTCCCCATTCGGGTGGGTCGTCAAATCCAGGTGACCCATACCGGCTCCATCATCCAACGGCCACCGTTTAATCTTCACCCGCAAACCGCGTCCACTACGCTCCGTAACGTTCGCGACTATATAATCCTCATCCATCCATCCGTCCTCCATGTCAGACAGAGCTCCCATAATTCTTTTCCGATCCTTCAAAGAGATTTCTCTCCTCACTCACTCTTCTCAGTCAAAAATGGCCATTCCGGCGGCAACTCTGGCGAAAACTCTCCTGATTCTAGCAAGCGCGGTCTATGTTTTGACGGCAATGAGGTCCGTTCTTCCACTGATCTATGATCTCCGCCCGGTTTTGGACTGGCTCCGGCCGCCGTACGTTTACTTCATCATCAACGGGATCATCGTCTCCATTGCGCTTTCTTCTCGTTTCCAGCGCGATCGCCTTGAGAAGAAACTCTCCGGCCAGTTTTATCCGTTGGTTACGGCCACCACGCCTCCGCCTGCGGATTTGGTTGCCTTTGCTCATCCGGAGATCAAATCTGTCGTGGAGGCATCGTTTGAGGGGCCGTTTGTAGGCGAATCGGAGCTGAAGCCGGCGGCGGTTGACGGTGCGACGGTGGAATTCCACGAAGAGAAATTAGGTGAAGGTGATGTCATTATTGAGAAGGAAGCGGCGGCGGGGAAGGAAATTGAGACTGAAATAGCCTGCACCGATCTGAAGCCGACCGAATCGGAATCCCAACTGATTTTGCAGGCGGCGGAGAAACCTCTCGTCTCTTCGCACTTTGCTCACCGTGGTAAACAGTCCGTGAAATCCAGCCCGGATCAAGGTATGCAGGAACCTCTATATTGATTGTTACGGAGTATTTGTTTTTATTTCAATTCCAATTTTCAATCTAAAATTCAAGTTCTACTGCGCAATTTGCCGAGATCGAGAACAAAGGCGTCGCAGCCGCAAAACTCGCGCTAATCTAACTAACATCATTCATAATCTGAAAGTTTGTTACCCTACGGTGGCGATGCAGGTGGCGGTAGAGGTTTGAGGGTGGCGAGGCAGAGGAAGCAGCTGGAGACGCTGGAGAGCACATGGAAATCGATAACAGAAGGGCGTAGTCACGTGCAGCTCACGAGGCGCCTGAAAAAACCCGATGCCCCTGAGAATCAACAGAGCCAGAGCCGCCTCATCGCAGGCGCGGATGAGGTGGTGGTGAAGCGGCCGTCGCGGAGCCCGGGGGTGATGATTCTAAGGAGGGAGCCGTCTCTGAGTCAGGACGAGTTGAACCGGCGGGTGGAAGCGTTCATAAAGAAGTTCAACGAGGAGATGAGGATACAGCGGCAGCAGTCTTTACAGCAGTACATGGAGACGATCAAGCGCGCAGGGCTTAACTGAATTAATTTTGAAGTAATTACTCCATTTTTCGTCCTTAATTAGCTTTCATCCATCACATTTAATTAGCTTCAATTCATTCATTTTCGACATATATGCATGAACATGAGTACATGACCATATGATTAGAGGATTTAGAGCTCACTACCTTTTGATTTTCTTCCTCTTTTTTATTTGTGTAAGGAGGAAAAGAATCTGTATGTCTATACTTTTTAAAAGAGTGTTTAGTGTTTTGGTAAATGTATGTATTAATGTATATGAGGTGATTAATGCACTATTTTTTTATTGGAAAAATTAACATGACAATTCTTTCTAATTTTTACTAACTTTTTTGTGTTTCTTCCAACTCCTTCCTTTTTTTAATGACTTAAAAATAACGTACATTTTTATATGATAATTGATAAATACTCCGTATACAATAACATTATATATTCAAATTTTTAATACACCACTTCAAACACGGAAATGAATAACATTTTTTCTATCTATATTTAGAGTTTTCTAACATATTTATTTGGGTTATCATTTAATTAAGTTACTTTTAAACATTTTAGTTTTCCAACATTTCCAACTCCTTTCAGGTTTTTTCAATTATTTTCGGTTTCTTTAACATCTTTCAGGTTTCTTTCAAAATTCAGCTTTAAAATTCTAAGTTAAAAGAATAGAGAGCTTAAAGGTGAAACAAACTACTTGTACACAGTAAAAAAAACTGTGGCAATTAGTATTTTTTAAATGGAATAATTTTTCATACTCCTTCCGTCCGGAAATTTTCTTCACATTTGACTTTTTACGGTCTCCAAGATTGCACTTTGACCACCAATATCTTTATTTATACACAGATATATTTTGTAAAAATTTGATATTTGAAAACTACGAGTATATATCAAATGGAATATATTCATATTAAAGTTATATCGTGATACAATGTATTTTTTCCATATATCGTAATCAAAGTTTATAAATTTTGACCAAGAAAAGTCAAATGGGAAGAATATTCCCAGACGGAGGGAATAATTTTCAAAGAAAATTGTCTTGAAATTTAATTATGAAGACCATAAATATGCAAATAAATAATCTGGTGATGGGGTGGGGGGGGGGGTGGGGAGCTTGTGAATTAAGGAGGGGGGAGTGGGTGGATGGTGGTTTGTCCTTTTGCGCGGAGCGGTGAGCGAAATGTAGGTGTGGACTGGAGTCAAAATCACCGGCAATGTAAGAGATGATGCAAATTTCATTTTCTTTTCTCCTTCTTAATTTAAAAAAAGAAAAGGGATTAGTCATAGATCAACATTGACTAGATTAGATGGCTGGTAAACGAACGCGCGCCTGAGAGCGTTCCTTTCACAAGATGTTGATACTTGATATACACCACCTTTTTTCTCACCTCCTTTTTTTTTATTAAAAAGGCTACCCCATATTTAGCTACTTCGTATATAGTTGCGATGGTGACAAATGGTTACTAATCCCATAACTAAAGGTCCCATTGTGTATAATAATATTTGGTCGATGTTAGATTATAAAATTATTTTTTTTGGACACAATCACAAACTTGAGTTTTTGACATATTATTAAACTCTTGTTGATCAAGAGAGGTCAGGAATTTGGAACTTAGCGCCACCCCATTTAAATAAAATTAATGATCACATGTAAGACTCGAGCAAAAAACAAATCTTGTCTACACGTGAAAGGCGTTTGAGAATCTAAAGAACTTTTTTTTGGATCACAATCACAAGTTTAAATTTTTTACTGAGTTGATTCTTTGAAAATTGAATTCATTTTTAATTCTGCTTTTTTTAAAGAATAAATTCCATAAAAGGTCCCCAGTTATAGACCGTTTTAAATATTTAGTCCCTACATATCAAGTATTACTAATTTAGTCCCCAGTTATTATATCATTTTTTACGAATGGTCCTTTGTTAACGTTTTTGTTAACAACATGGATAAAATTGTATATTCATACTTTCTTTCTCCTCAATTAAGTTTCCTCCCTCATCTCCTACTATTTCCCAAACTCGTTGCTGAGTTTGAAGCTCTAAACCCAAAACTGAAATGATCATTCCTCTCTCAATTATTAGTCTTCCTGGTGGAACCTAAAATCAAAAACAATAAGCTCTATGGTATAGTTTTATCGGTTAGTCTTAATAAATTGCAAAGAAAATAAATATTAAAACTCATCCATGAAGGTTACTGATTTCGAATTTGGGTTCCACCAATTAGACAAACAATTGGGAGAAGAGTAATGATTTCAGTTTTGAGTTCAAAGTTTCAAACTCAGCGATGAGTTTGGGAAAGGAGTGCGAGGGGAGGAAGGAAGCTTTATTGAGGAGAGAAAGGAGTGTGAATTTACAATTTTATCCACGTTCTTAACGGAAATGTTAGCAAAGGACCATTCGTGGAAATGAATATAATAATTGGGGACTAAGTTAGTAATATTTGATATGTAGGGACTAAATATGTAAAACCACATATAACAGGAGATCTTTTATGGAATTTACTCTTTTTTAAATCAAGAGATGTTACGATTATACAACCTCCATCCCTGAATATTTGTTTAGTTTTGACTTTTTTGATCATCTGTTTTTAACTTTGACCTACAATTAAATAAAATATATAATGTATATTAATTAGATAACATAATATTTTGAAAATATTTTTGTATCAGTATCTAAAATCATTTTTATTTAATTTGAGGTTAAAACAATTTTGACTGAAAAAGTCAAAAGTGGACAAATATTTAGGGACGGAGAGAGTATTATTTTAACAAACAATAATAGAAATAAAAAGAAAAATAATAATCCAGCAAAAATAATGAACTAGACTCTAGTTCAGGAAGAGAAGAAAAACTTGCTAACGAAGAAGGCATGAAGGAAAATGATTTGGGTTTCATCCCATCACACAATTGGTTGATATGTTACATAGAGTTCAATTTTTGGCACTATATATACTCATTTTTTCCAATTCTAATTGCTTCACCTCTTGTTCTCCTAACAATATACCTCTCTTTCACTTTTATTTTTCTTCAATCTTTTCTGAGTTCTATCTTTTTTATTTACGGAGAGAGATTTGAAGAGAAACAATAAGGATTGGAAGAGAGAGCATATGTAATGTCAAAATTGGTAGGAGTTAGTGGCTTAGAGTTAAATGTTATCTGATAATAATTACAGTTTTTAAAACTCCAAATCTACACGACTCTTTTTGATTCGCTCTACTCTCATGATATTGAGAAAATAATTTATCTTTAAGTAATTGTCTATGACAATTGTTTATATGCATTAAAAATTAAATAAATGTTACACTGTGTCCACGTTCATTCAATTTTTAATTTATTTAGATCATAATGGACAGTGACTTAAGAACAAAAAGAGTATTGTACTTATTTGAGTTCTTCTATTGTGAGAGGTCTTGAATTCGGATAACTGTGTATATACTTTCACTTAAAATAGATTTGAAAATTTTACCCCTCATTTGTGTCACTAGTACCAACACTTTTGAAAAATCTCACTCCAACTTGGATATTACCAAATGAGCAAATACAAATATACTACAGAATAATAATCCATAGAATTAAAATCATTAAATCGAAGGTCAGAATTTCTTGTGGTGGGGCCGCATACATTGTGACAGACCAACCAATATAAAAAATTTATTCTCTAAAGTTTTAGGTCAAGGCATAACTTGATTGGTCAATATGAGTACAAAATAGGATAATGTTCAAAATCGACTCCTGACAACTTCAATGAAGAACAATTACAAATAGCATGTGGTCCTTGCATGTATCAATAACAGGTGTCATTCTGTCTTAAATCTTCGACTCTCAACAACTTCAATGAAGAACAATTACCAGTAACATGTGATCCTTGCATGTATCAATAACAAATCTCATTCTTATTGATCTGTAACGTTCAATATAATTTATCTCTTCCCAGTCTATTCTTAGGATAATGTTCATATTTTTTTTCTATGATTTGAAGGAAAGAGTCCCACTTTCTTTAGAGTCCAACTCATTACCTATGTATACTTTTAGACCCACTCAAAGTGGGATATGGGATGATAGGGTTGCTGATGCTCTTAATACCACTCTATAAAGGAGCTCCCTTTTCGTCTAGTAGCTTTTGGAAACTTATTGCAAAATTTGCTACTAAAGTCACTTCTATGAGACCTATGTTATGAATCTAATGACTAAAAAGTGAATTATTTATGAAGAAATAATTCCTCCAAGACAGCAAGGAAAGACACTAAACAAGGCAATGAGGTGACACTATGGTTTTGGAAGAAAAATAGGCCAGTGCACTGTTCCTAACTCTTCATTTCTATTTACACAAACCCAAAAATGATATATTGAATGAATATGCATTTTAAAAAAAAGTTAACTATCCTACTTCTCAATATGCACCAAAGAAAATTTGACAATTTCACCCACCTCCAGGTCCGTATCAAACTTTTGAAGGTCGCGGTCCCCGCATGATAGAGGACCGCCACCATTCAAATTTATCACCTGATGATGAGGTCCAAGTGATGTCGAATTGCCAGCTGTCAACTCGTGGTGCCAGTTGACGGGGGAGTCAGGCTTCACATTCAGGTCTATTCCTCCTCCCTTAGATGGCGGCGTTTGCTCTCGACAACTCTCGCTAGACAATGAGTCGCGACCGGCCTCCGCGGGTCCCACTTCTTTCCCCGGTAGCTTATCTGTCCCTTTCTTCTTCGGCATTGCGGTTTTGAAATGCAGTCCTACGGATTTGCAAAGGTTACAGTCGCAGTGCTGTTTGTGTTTGGGAGCAGTTCCAGTGGGGGGCTGGATGCAGACAATGCAGGTACATCCAGGCCTGTGGCGGGGGTGCTTCACGGTGGGTCCCTGAGATGATGATGCCGACACACCACCACCTTCCCCATCTTCTTCTTCTTCTTCTTCTATGGCTAGATTTGCAAGCGCTTCTGCCATGGTACTAGTACTAGTGTCAGGCGACTTTATATCCTGTTTAGGAGAAGCCTTCTTTCTCTTAGCTGCTGTACGAAAAAAACCCAGACCGAGTTCATTTATTTATATCACATTTATACACACACACACTTCTTTAGGAACATTTCTGAGTAACAGTTAAGCAAATAAAGAGTTAATATTTGAATGTGTGCACAACTTAGGATCAAGTTATTCAAGAG